CATTAGATATTTAATATATAGCGGTGCAAGTGCCACTTCTTCTTGAAATGATTGCTCTTAGGTTGCTGCAGTGAAAGACCATGGCAGTCTTCAACAGCATTTTCTTCAGTGTAATTCTTACTAGACTTCCTTTTTTTCAGGAAGAAAATTTATCAATAAACACAGAACAGTTATGGCCTCACTCTAAAGCTTGCTGAAATTGAGGAAAAAATATCATTAAATACAGGGGTATTTGAATCATGCCTCTAATGATGAAAAAGGCCAAGAAGCTGCCGGGACCTTTCCTTTGCTATGGTTTGGGATTGCTAAAGCTCATCTGCAGTTGCTTCCTAGTTGGTATTCCTGGACTGTTTTAACACACGTAGCACGGAGTTTTTAACTGCTATAATAATGGCCATAAGGCCTCTAAAAATCAGACATAAGAGATTGCATCCTCACGTTTTGTATTTTAAAACTAAAACCAAAAATCTGGGTAATTGTACATATCGAATTGCTGAGCAACAAAATCTCAGAAAGACCTTGTCTGGATTACTGAAAGTGATTAGTTTTGTAATAAAAAGATGAACAGCTCATCAGAGCAAGTGGTCAGACAATGGATTAGAAGAGAAGCAGGGATTTCTGAGGACTAATCCTGAAGCATACCAAGGCTGTTGAAACGACTTGCTCGATGGGGCTTGTCAAAGTGATTGTAGGTGTCTGCAGCACCTACCTCTCCCAACTAACGGTGAAAACATATTTGAGTAAATCACATGTAATGTCTCCACTGCAGACATGTAAAGTTAGGTGAGATAACACAATGAAATTGCTGCTGGTGGGATTCACAGGTGTAGCCCTTCTTGTTAAATGAATGTCAATAGGTTCAGTATTTTCTATCAAAATACAATGTGGAAAGGAACTTTGCCATTGTCAAAGGGTGTTTTGAAGGTAAATTGATCCAGAGAAGTCAAAATATAACGACAGTAAATTAACAGGCAAGCTACTCAAGTGTATCCTAAAGACGGCAAAGAACAGCTGACAGCTGCTGCAGCAGTGACAATGCTCACGAAGCACCTGAAAAGCTCTATATTGTTGAAAGAATTGACACTTTTAGCAGAAAGAAAGGCCAGGCATTGCATCACCTTATGGAAAATCTGTCCAGCTCTTCAGCTTCTGCTGTTGTATGCTTTTTGGTTGGCATGTTTGAAATGTTTCTTCTGTCCTCTGTCCTTCCAAATTATTTTGGCTCAGATAATCTGAACTACTCAATACGCTCCTGACTTTATGGTGTATCTCCAACATGTGCTTTTTCATTAGAAGCCTGAAAGCAAAGTCCCTGCTTCAAGTCCCCTTGCCACTAAAAACACCCACTCCCTGGGGAGATCCTGTAACACAAGACCCTATTTTGAATTTAATAATGAAGAGTTTTACTGGATCCAGGCCTTTGTTGCAGGTTCGCTAGGCAAAGGAAAGCACTGACACTATGTACTCACAGATAATTCTTTTCCTTGCGGCACTGAGACCTACATTACTCACATGCAGATAGCACCACTTTATGGAAGCCATACTGGAAACTGAAACATAAAATATCTGGACTTGTCACAAGACTGGCTAAAAGAGACATAAAGATACATGCTTCTGAAGCAGAATGGTAGCAAATTCTCTTTTTTGTGTCCAGAGCCCCTTGCTTATCAATGCACCCCTTCTTTGCTCAGCACAGTGCCTGCAAGGCTGCGTACTCAGCTTGCTGATGTAGATCTGTAATGCAATCACCTCCTGTCAATCAGGAAATAGACAACAGTGGCCAGCTGTCCTAGACTTATCTGTCCCTATCTGCGCACTTAGCTGCTCCAGCTCTGTTTTAAGGAGTTACCTATTGCAACCTTGTCTTGCCACTGTGAAAATGCACACTGGCCCCAGTGACGGATAAAAACTTTGTGTGGTGGCTTTTCTAACTGCAACCAAGTATAATGACAACACCAAGTGGCTAAGCTATACAACAAACAAGGTGATAAGCAGGTCTGGGAGATAAGGTCAGGAATAAAGCCAGATGTCTCCAGGTAGGTAGGACAAGCACCAGACCAGCCCAAAGGCAGGCTGCTAGTCTGCATGCCTATAGGCTTACTGACCTTGTAAAGAAGTCAGCTCATACAACAGTGTACCTGGTCTACCAGGCACTCTGACAAAGCATGTTTCCTTTGTTGAGCTGGAATGAGCAACTGCTAAAACACTGTACTGCTTGGTCAATGAAACATCCCTGTTGTAACACGAATTTCTGTAGAAAGGCAGATGCTATTTATTCAGGCATTTATTCTAACTTTGTCTTTTTTTTAAGCAGAAGACAGAGCACAGATATTCGTGCCAATATTGACTTTAGATACCAGGTTTCTAATCCTGAAAAATGCGTTTTAATTTTTCCCAACCTGCCTTCCTTCCTGACTGTTCGCAGTCTCTGATGGGATTTGCTGTTTGTGGCTGCCAGCCTGAAGAAATTACATGTCTTACATCACCTCAGGAAGGTTGCTCCTCTATTTTGGGTTTGTTTTTTCAATACATTTCAAAAGCACAGTACAAGGGCACATGTAACCTGAAAGCAGCAGGAGAATGTTTAGAAGTATATTCAAATTAAAAAGATTATTTCTGCACCCTGATGCCTTCTGTTTGAAATAAGTCACCATCACTGAAAAGAAAGAGGTTAGCAGATCTGGAACCACCCCCTAAAATCGTTAAATCACATAAAAGATGCTTTAATTAACTAATTAAAAAGTGATTCATGTACCTCTGCAACTGTTGTGCCCCAAACATTTAACAAACCTAAGCTTTAAGTCTTACAGAGAACTTTGAATGGGCCCAGCTCAGGCATTGTGTGAGAAAAGGTTAAACCAGTACATTTTCTATTATAAATGCTCTTACAGACTAAGACTTTGGAGGCAAATGCATGAATGAAATACATGAAACTATTTTGTAGTTCATGTAATGGCAGGAAATCCTCTTCCATAAAATCTACCCTGTCTTATTCCCACACTGGAAACTGCTAACTACTCAGAAGCTTAGATCTAGTCCATGAAGCAGAGAAGTGCCTGTCTAGGAAAGGCCAGTAATGCCACTGATTTAATGGGACCACTAAGGCCATTCACCATGAGTCATCAGTGTTTCTGTGCAGGACTAAGACCTGTGTTTGCAGCACCTGATATGCTTCAATACTTTGCGCTCAATTTTGTAACTCAACACCCAAGCTTTACAGTGCAGCTTTAGAATAATTTAATTTTCTTGCAATTGCAGAAATTTCCCCATACCTGTCTTAGGAACTTCATGTGTGGTCACAATAATGATGCAGAAAAATAGGATGTAGTCTGATGCAATTTGATTTGATGGATTAGGTGACGCCCATGTAAAGAGTAGAGGACTAACCTCATTTTCAAGACAATATTATGGCTCACACAACAATGACTGTAACAGAGATATACCCGGAGCTGGAGAAATTCAGCCAAAAGCTCTTATTTACTTATTCAGAATGCTTTGAATAGAACAAATACATGATTCCTGGACTTATGCAGCTTAAATTGATGAAGTTATTGATGTAGCATTTATGGTACTTTTCTGGGAGGGGAAGGGCAGATTATTAGTAGCAATTTGCTTTAAGCCATCTATCAATTTTAGAGTGCCTCAGGCCAACCTTAAAAAGTATTGTTCTTCATTTAAAATACTTTTGGTAGAAATAGTATAGATATCGTTGGAAGAAGTGAGTCAGAAGTTGTACTCACCAAGTCAAAACTATGGTCATTAGTCTGAATGCAAGGTTTTACTAACATAACAGAGGGAGCTTGGCCTTTGCTGTCTGGAGGGACGTATGTAACCTTCATTTACACAATTTACAAAAGCAAAATAGATGTTCAGTTCTTGAGTTCTCAAAATGACTTTTTCCAGTGGCGCAATATTGTATCAATTCAGTCACCCGAGACAAATTAATGGGGGATGGTTTCAAAGCTATGTACCAACAGTTAGGTCATGAGTATAAAACTGTGGCAAATCCAATCACACCTTCACTGCAGAGAGTGCCAAACAAACAAGAGAAATTTGCTGTTATCACCCTGTCCCCTAGAGTGACCGTCAGGTGAAGAGGGTGCCTGTTCTTTTGTCACCTGCAGCCATGCAGTCTTTCTACAAACCATTCTGCATGCATGTTTTTCATGATCATTACTTAGCAGCAAATAAAATCAGAATTCTCTTATAAAATGACTGGACGCAAATTCCAACTGAAGACCCCTTCATCCCCTCTTGGGAGTGGAGGAGAGAGTGGGTGGAGGCAGTCCCACCTCTACATTTTTCCTTGCCTTACCAAAAAATACTAGGAAGTCTAAGCTATTTGCAGATGGGTTGTCTGCAACATAATTAATCTCTTCCCATGACAGTTCCCAGCAGAAACAACATTGCAAATCAAATGTCTGACTACTTGTAAAGTGAATTACACTGTTTTGATGCAGAAGGTAGAATTTTTCAAAAGATCTCAGTTCTGCTCCATTTGGTTTAGCATTCCTGTGGAATTTTGCCAGCAACGCCTTTGTAAGCACCGTTACGGCCTGTGAAATACTTGCAAAATCCTACCTAGAACATCAGTGGTTTTGTCTTTGTGCTGTGTGGTTGTTTTGTTCGCGTACATCTCAGATGACCCAAATCATCCAACTGATCAAAACAACTACAGCCAAAGGGACTTCAGAACTGAAATTAAATCCTTAATCTTCATGTAGAAGCCACTTTTCTTCTCTGCAGTAGGTAACACCAAAACCCTCCACCATCTTTCTCACCCTCAATCTTTGTAATACACCCCCTACATCTATGGATGTTTAAAGATCCTCTCTCACTGAACTTTCTGGCTGAAATGCCATCAGATGGTAACTAACTGTAGTGCAACTGCTGTTCTGCACACAGATTGCTTTCTGGTTTTATTAGAAACCATAAACTATGCAGCAGTGAACTTTGATTGGGAAGAAGAAAAGGCTGAGTTAACAACAGACATGCTTTACCTTTGGGTCATGTATTCCAGAAAGCTCTTCATAGATCTTCTCTCCCACCATGACAGCAGCTAGGTTGGCTGTGTATGTGGACAAACAAAACAGGCAGAAAATAGCCCAAAGATTCATTAAAAACCTTCCAGTCCAGCACTTGGGGGGTTTGATTGCAGCTGTTCTTCCAAACAAGATTGCATAGCACACATTCAGGGCAGAGGAGAAAGAGAAAACTTTGTTTCTGTTCCTCCCCTTGGGGGTCATGCCAAAAGGACTTTTCCACTCATATAAGGTGAGGAATACAGCTGTGATATGAAGAGCAACAAATATCCCCAGCCACATAGTCCAGTGAAGTGGCCACATAAAGGCTCCAATAGGAGCTGCTGTATCTTTGGTCCTTACCAAGATGCCCAAGCTGGTTGAAAAGAAAGGGCTGGTGAAATCAATCACTTGGCTGCGGGCAGTGTTAATGCTAAATGACGTCACTGCCATGTGAGCTGTGCCAGCAAGAAGGTCTCCCACCAGCCCTGTCCAGTGGCCGTTCTTCCAGGCTCCATATTTTCCATCACCAACAATGTACAAATCAAAATCAAAATTCATATCCTCAGCTAGCTTCTCCAGCAGGTCAATGCAGTAGCCATAGCAGCACTTCTTCAGCTCAATGGGAACGGTGTCATTCCCTCCTTGAAGGGTTTCAAACAAGTTATCCAGCACAGCTGAGTCATTGGTCAAAGGATCCAGGCACAGCTGCCCTGCTGGGCAAAGACCTTCATCATCTACATCTCTTGTAAAGACAAATGGATGCTCAATGAGAGTTACCACTCTGAGGTGCAGCCGGGTGGGGTGTTGCATGTGATTTTTATGTCTCTGGGCCTGTTCTGGCCATATCCCATAGTCCATGATTATCTTTCCTTCATGCCAGCTCCCCAGACGAGTCCACATTGGGTTCCCAACAGGGTCGTGCTGCAGATTCCAGATGAAGAAGTTGTTTTCTGAACTGACAACAGAGGAGCCTTTCACCTTGATGTGGCCACTGAGACCATCAAAAGTTGTGTTGGCTAAAAACCTGTTGGAAGGAGAAAGCAGAGTAATCAGCAGCAGCAAACTGAAGTTATCATGCTAAAGCATATGTGGACACCATGAATTTATGTTTAAGAGAATAGATTTTGGATGTTGTTGAACATCTGGATCATTAATAGCTTTCCTGTGGCACAATGAACAAGCTACAATTTACGACTAAAGTACTTGGGAATGCTCTCCTGTGTATCTAATGCAAATGAAAACTCTTTTGGAAAGATATTCTTTTTATTTACTAGAAAAAATGAATGAGAGAACACCATTTTTTTCAGTTTCTTTTGCCTTACAAATTAATGAAACATAGGTTAGTTCTAAGCTGAACTCACCAGATCTGTACTCAGTTTCCTAGATAAAAATATATATGAAAATGCAAGAGTGGAAATTATGTATGAAATGTCCTTCCAAGAAAAATCCAATAATCTCAGTAAGATCCAGCTTACAAAACAGAGGCTACTGAAGTGCTGTCAATGGCTTTCAAGCACTCTGAAGTGAACAAATCTGGATTTGAAAATGCAAATTTGGCATTGGTAAATCACTGTTAGCCAGTTCAGAATAAAGAACGAGACTCAGTGAAAGATGGTTGCCCTAGGACAGTCAGTTTAAAAAAAAAAAAAAATTCTTAAAATATCTGCAAAAGTAATGTTCTTAAAAGTGCAATTTTGGCATTGTAGCAGATCTCATGAAGTTTGGTACTGCGTATTCTGGACTGAGATTTTTGGACTTTTACCGTTCCAGATATTCACAATAAAGTAAAGTATTTCCTTTGTATCGGTTGGCAATGTTTGCTAGCAGTTGTCCTCCTTGTATGCTGAATTCAGCTTCTGGTAAGTTGTTATCAGAGAGACTAAAATGACATGGATAAAGGAGCAGTGAATTGAGCAGGAAATAAGTGTTATAAGGAGAAAATCCTTTTCAGTATAAACACCGTGACCATGCACTCTGTTAATAAGAAAGCTGCTAAGCATTTTGCAGGGGCTGTAGTGGGACCATACTAAGAGTGCGTAAGTCTTAGAATAGTGATTCCATTAAAAAACAAATGAGTTAAATTGCTGCTAAATGGTGTAAGGTAAGTCAGGCATGTATTCTCCAGCAAGGGGCATTCAGAAGACAATTTAGCTTTCACAGTAGAATGTAACACCCCACATTAGTTTTGGGAATCGGGTGACAGCAAGTATGAAAGAAGTATAAAGGCTATAGCTGTCATTCCAGCCTCAACATCAACACACAAACTTTAAGTAGTGTGAATTGTTTATCAATAGTTAGAGCAGATAGAAAATAACCTTAAATTGATTTGAAAAGGATAAATCCACAGCAAGTGTGTGTGCGTGCATACTTCTGCCCAGTCTCTACCCTTTGTTTTGATGACTTTTGATGGAGTTTCAGCAGTTAAAACTCTAGACTGTGTTCATCTCAAGATCATATCAGCTTTTGTCCTCAGCAAAGGGTAAATTTACAAAACGAAATAATACAGTTTTGAGTGTGCTTGTGTGTGTGACAGCCTCCTCTGAGATGGCTTAAAAACTCTTCTTATGCAGTCTACTTTGAGTAGGTTGAGTTTGGAGAAAGATGATATAGCCAATACTGTCAAAAGCAATTGATCTGTGCATGTGTTAACTTGGTCTTGAAAATTATGCCTAAAAATACACATAGGTGTCTATAATTGGGACAGGTGCATCAATGTGATTCTCATTTTTAAAATCCTTTGCCACTTAGTCTAGTGTTAGCTAAATGATACAGTACCTTCATTAATCAGTGGTGTCTACCACTGTTTGACTAGTCCTTTCCTCCTACCCTGTGTTTCCTATCTGATGGTCTTCTTGAATATTTGTGTATGTAAACACTATCACGACAAAGTTTACAGGGGAAGGCAATCTTAAGCACTAAAGAAAGGTTTATGTGCCCAGAAACTTATTTGTTTTTATCTCTCCTCCTCAGTCTTTGTAAAAAATTGTGCAACTTCTTCCTTACAAGCCTTGCTGATCTTACATGCTGAAGCCATCACTATGACACTAACAGTAAAACCACTGCATGTGTAGATAGGTCTGTATGTAACATTTGGGAAAAAAAAAAAGTTTAAGTGTAGAAAATAGTGTTAACAGTTCACAAAATGCCAAAATTGAAGAAGACCAGTCCTTGGATGGAATAAGCTAGCAAAGTTCTGATGAATTGGACCCATGTTGTTACTACAGCATGACTTGGATATCAGAATGCTGCAGACCAGGTGCTTTGGGAATAGATGAAGCTATGGAACAATGCATTAGATTTAATTTCTGCAGGTAGAATGAGAACAGCGGAATTTATGCACTGTGTTCTCTGACTTTCACTGTACAAATAAATGTGCCCATGAGGATGAATCAAGCCCTCTGTACCTGTCCTGTGGTTGAATTGTGTTAAAGTGGTTACCTGAGAGATTTACTAGCACTTAAATGCATGACTTTGCTACCTTATCGAGTTAGTGGCTTACTTTTGCAGCCGATTTGCATGTTCTATATTTTTGGTAGGGACAGGACACTAATCAATATAAAAGAGGGGACCCATGTGGGAGACCATTTTAACAACACTTTGTTTTATACATGAGTGGCTATGACTGCTAATCATTTGCATATGCTGTACGCAGCACTAGTGAAACTCATGCCAGGGACTTCATGTAAAAACTCCCTCATTCAATAACTTCAGGAAATAGCTAAGAGGATCTGACTACATTATTTAACATAGCGATCTCTACCATAATTCTTTGGGAATGACAAGTGCTGAGTATTGCACAGGCAATTTGGCAATATCTGCATAGTATCTTTTCAGTAGGGCAACCGAGATTTGTATGGAAAGACAATGTGTACAAATTTCAGAATGTGAAGGGCCAGATCCTCAGGTCTGAGAGCTCAATGAGTTTCCTTGATGCCATGTCAATATGTGTGAGCTGATGATCACACCAATAGGCTGTGATAGCTGTATCAAAGCTTTACAAGCGTCACTTCATCAGTTTGACCAATGAGTCCAAGGTGGGTTATTTGCTCATTTCAGCTTTACTTGTTTTTCATGTGCTTTGTTGTAAGAACTGCTCATTAGAGCTTTAGCAGTGCTACCATACTCCAGCAGTGGTATCTTTGCAGTACCTTTAAGAATGATTTAATTAAATAATTTCATTTTCTTTCAAGCTTGATAGCTTCATTATTCCACATCTTTCTTGGAAGGTTTACTGGAGGCAAGAACTGGAATGAGCAACCAAATAGAAGGCTGCTGAAATTACCCAAGAAGCAGAGTTAAAGCTGTAAGCCTAATTAAAGCTATAAGACAAGAAGAGGCTTTGTAATTTTAATGCCTTGTTCCGTCAACAAGGATGCTCCCATGAGCAGGCAGGAATAGATCAGGGAATTGATGTCATCATAAGAGGAATGAAGGATGAGGACTTACAACAGTAAAATCTGCAGGGGTTTGTACATCTATATCCATATCAATATCCATACCCATATAGATAAAAGCATGCTTTGCCATGGACCAGATCTTGGTCTTGTTCACAATCATTATTCTGTTCCTGGGTGGCATTTAAATGTCTGCACAGCCAATGTATGAGTGCAGTGCTGGCAATGAAAGCTCAGGTGTCAGCTGTGCCAGCCTGTGGGGCTGCTGTTTAACTACACATTGCAGTCAGGGGAGGCAAAGGTCTGTGCCACTGTGCCTCCTCCATCCCTGCCCACCATAGCTCCAAGGGTACACGTCAAAACAGATGGGTTCATTCAAACAGAAAACTGCCCACAACTGTCAATTAAGCACCAGACAGAAGTTTCATCTGTGGAGGTGCACCACTTGCCTAAAAGCACTCGTGCCATGGACAAGGTTGGTCACAGTCAAGCTACCCATCAGTGCTTCATGCCTGAGCAATTATTGGTACCACTCAGAGTTAGTAGTTATGCTGCAAACTCAAATACATCACTACTGGCCATCAGGTATCTGTCTCACTTACACACTACAGAAACAGCTGTAGTAATTCAGGACAAGGGTTTATCTAATCTGTTATTTTGTCTTTCTTAGGGTCTACAAGCAGATGCCTAGGGAAGAAGCATATGATCCTTTTTTTCTATTCCACAATACCTTTACTGAGGTAAAGGGACAAGAAATTTCATAGATGTGAAATTGCATAGTCTCCCAAAATACAACAAAAGTTACTGCAGTCACTGGTCATGAAAGGGCTAAAAGCTTTCTGCAGAAAGCAATGATGAAGAAATATTTTGCAGTAATACTTTTAAGAGCTTTAATTCTGCTCTCCTTTTTCTTTGTCCCCTCCTTAACCCTGAAAAAGTCTCTTCATAAAACTACTGTTCTCAAAATTTGTTACTTTAAGAAGTCTCTTGCTGAGTTTTACTTTTCAGGGACTTAGGTATCATAATAGATATTTGTCCAGAATAATGGACAAAATTAAAATCACAAGTCAGTGGGGATATTGCAGGCCAGTATTTATCCCCAAGCCCTGTTTCACTCTTTGGAAACAGAGGGGTTTTGACCCGTAAGTTATGGATTAGTGGTGACTAAGTAACTGTTAGCATCTCAAATAGTTATGTTTTGAGTAGTGCTGTTACCGCATTATTGTGAAGACACATCTCAGATATAATTTCAAAAAAGTTGTGAACATACAAAAAGCTTCAAGAACTTTTTATCTTAACTCCATCCAACAAAACCTGTAGGCTGAAAACCAAATGCAATGTGGGGAAAATATGCCACAGTCACTGGATGTAAACTAGCCGACGAATACACACACTTAGCAAAGACCTTTTTGTTTGTTCTCAAAAAGAACCATGCAATTTTTCCTCTCATATGTTAAAACCCAGAATATTTCTAGACATAAGTCCCCAAGCAGTTTTGAGAATAACTTCAGTATAGGTATGAGCAGTAGTCTACAGGAATAGTTTTAGCAGAAGCTGAAAGAGGAGCCTCCCACACCAAGCAACAGAGAAGACTGTAGTTTTGAGTGCTCTCACCAGCAGCAGTGGCCTCTGAGGTGGTCAAGGTGCATCTTTTTTGTTTCTTTTCCATGGAAGCATACTAGCAAAGGCTACACATCTGCTTTTATAGTCTCTGATTGCTTTGGTAGTGCAAAGATTCTTACTGTGTTTTTCTATTCTCTCAGGTATCTCAAAACCTGAGAGAATTTGACGCTAGCCCTGACTTTTCCCTCTTATGTGCATAAGTATAGACAGAAGACTTTCAGAGCATAGTCTGTAACCTAGCCTATTTTTTTCTATGTGATCTCTGCTTCTGTGGAACACTGTCATCTTCTACAACTGGCTCAACCTCCCTCTGTGGCTAAGTTTAAGTTTCATGATTTTCCCAGAAACAATGAAGCAGTAGGAAATACTGAAACAAATGTGTGTATTACAGAGGGTTAATCGCATGATAGTTAAGCCACTGAGAATGGTGGAGAGGTGGAGGAAAATTACTTTTCTTGTATACCACAAATATTAGCTACAAGAAAAAAAAAAAGGAAAAACTTACTTTGACAAATACTGCCCTGAAGTGATATTCCTTTCATCTGTGTCCATGCAATTCATTGTACTCGGAATAAGAGCTAGTTCAGGTTGAACCATGGTGGCTGCTGCTACAGCTCTCGCTACCAGCTCCATTGCATCCTGTACATAATGCTCAAAGACTGACTGTGTTGTCTTGCCATGAGCGATGAGACCAAGTGGCAAACCTTCTGTCCTCAGTTCTTCCACATTCTGTGAATCCCCAATAATCCAATGAAGTTCTGGAGGCATCACACCAAACTGGGTGGTTATTTCAAAAATCCTCTGTGTTTTTTCCATGTCACATCCAAACATCACCATGGTAGATGTTGTGTCTTTGATGCTCTCCAGGTAAAACTGTAAGTAGTTCAGAAGGTCACTGGTTGAAGAGAGGTTTGCTGTGATGTTTATAATGGATCCCAGGTGGAACCTGGAGCTCTGTTGTGTGAGGAAGAGAAAATCTGTGATGTTCCACTCCTCCTGGCAGAGCATCAGGCTGAAATTATACCAGTTGTTCATCGCAAGGATCGAGAAAGTGACATCAGCATCAGAACTCAGTGAGTTTTCTAAACTCATCTGCAGGTGAAGGGGATTCTGCAGTTAAAAATATGAAAGACAACTGATCAGAAATATGCTGGACCCAAAGTTAATCAGTTTGCTTACTTTTTATTCACTCATTTAGTTCAAAGTAATCACAGCAAGAGAACTGTGTGAGAAACCTGGAAACTTATACCCACCCAGCTTAAACGGCCTGTGATTCATGGGCTTCCCCAGACAGAGTTTGAGTCAAATGCAGTAGTCACCAATAGGTCTCTTTCCAACCCATTTGTACTTTTGGATTTCTTGGCATTCAAAAGAAAAGATTTCCCTGCTCTCTTACCAGGGGTATGAGAAGGTATGCCTTTACTTCTCAGGTTCAGCCTTGGTGTTAATATTCATCCAAATTCAATGGATGCTGCCAAGTTTTTTGGTAAACAATAAGAAAATAAAGAAAAGCCCTCAGTCCTTTCTATTATCTGTGGGTTTGTTTTTTTTTTGTAGTTGGGGCCTCTTTTTACACAGATACATAAGTAACCTAATTAAACAGATCACAGTCTACAATCAGTGCACATCACGTACTGCCAATAAAACACAAGAAGAGTGATTCTTTGGTAAAGGACGAGTTACTGAATGCACAAGAGGCTAAGATATGCAGACAGTGATTTCTGAGCTAGAAAATATTTGATAAATAAGCATTCCATACTCATTTTTTCCACATCATTGATGATACAAAAGGACTTAACCTGTTGTGTTTCCCAACACCATTGCCCTTGGCTTTATCTTTTCCAGAAAAGGAGGAAGGCCGTGAGGCCAATTCATCTGTTCTCTTAAGGTAAATATTTCTTCCTTTCTTATTATCTGATCTATAAGTACTTTTCTCTTACTTTTCTTCCTCCCTTGGTTCCAAAAATAAAGTTAAATGTTATCTACAGATTTAGTAATGAATAAAAAAATTAAAGTATCCAAGTAATTTCTGGAATTTTGCTCTAAAATAATTCTCTGCTCTACCAAAACGTTTCGATCAGGCCTTCAGTTAGCACATTATATACTGTTGCAACTTTTGGTTTCAGCTAAGAACCTGACAGTCTTCAGTGTAGCTTTGCTAAAAAAATTATTTTACTTTATATTGGCATTTGATTCCAGCCACAAGACTGTTCAAAAACTGTGAATTATGATGCCTGTTTCAGTGCATCTTTTGGTTGTGACTTTATGTGAACATTTGTCTGTGTTCATGCCCCCTCAAATTGTATCTTATCCTACACAGGTATCTGAATTTTATCTTTCTATCCATGAAGTTACTAAACACTTAAGGTCTGTTCTTCATTCTCTTACATTTTCAGTAGTTAGTATGTATTATATGTAAGAGGCATCAAACCTTAACAGTCTTTAAAGTTGGTATAAAATGCTGTCATTTTGATTTTAATAGTATTTTACTGTTCATTATAGGTTCCAGTTTGTATGGATCTTAGAAATGTCATTATGAATTCGGAATAATACAATATTTGCTCAATTTAGACTACCAAAGAAAACCCTGGGCTCTCCAGTACAAATGTAAGGGGTGGAATGAGAAAAAAAAACCTGAAGAGCTAAACACCATTATAAGCAGCAACCTTTCATTGTGTTAATTTGCAGTTACATGAACTCATAATCTGATTTCCAGAGCAGATAATTTAAATTCAGAGCTTATAAAAAGAATACCGTAATTGAAGAGTCTATCAGCTCTTTTTGTTATCTCTGGCTTTGGTACCTGTGGCCATTTTTCACACTGACACATGAACAAGCTATTTCCATAGATCACTGTCCACAATCGATGCACATCGTGTACTGTCAATAAGACACAAGAGGATTGACTCTTGATAAGGGACAAGCTACAGAACACACAAGAAGCTAAGCTGTGCAGGCTCTGTGAATTCTATGCTGGAAAACTTTGCCTACTAATTAAAATACATGATTAATTCAGGAAAAAAAAAGCACTGTGCATAATATATGGGTTTGAGAAGCTGATTTGAATAATGCAAACAGAATCGCAACTAACTTTTTTTCTGAGGTTATGAGATGATCAGGTAAATTAACTCTAGTTTGTCTCTCACTACAAAGAGAAGACAGTAGAAAGGATTTCCCATGTGTCCTCTCTGTCCAAGATCACACAAAAGTATGAACACTTTTACAAGATGATCCGCCTCCAATCAGCAAAACTTTGCAAGCCTACTGGCTTAGTTAATTTGAGTGTTAGAGAAGAAGCAAGTTATTCAGTATACATAGAACATTTTGCATGTATCAATGACAGCACACAACCTGACCATACCTACACAAGGAAAAGCAAATTTCTTCAGTATATTCAGAAGCATAACATCCCAAGCATAGTGCTATAGCTGTTAGTGGTATAGGTGCAGGTACATAATGCAGAAAAACAACTGTGCGCTGATGAGTGATAGAAGTTAGCAATAACAGCTGTGTCCATACTCTTGAACAGAACTGCCCCAGGAAACAAACCTGAGCATTTGTACTGCTTAGTTTGTCACTGGTTTGGTTTTGGCACATGCCAATTAGCTTTCTCATACCATGCACTCGCTTTTGGGGATCATTCCCAGTAGGCAGTATGGATGAGACTGCAAGAGAACTGGCTCTCCATCTTATCCAGCAGGTTTAAGTCTTCATCTCTATGTCCTCATCCTAAACCCAGTGCATATGCAGTTTCACATATGCAAGAGGGCTTCTGCTTGTCTGTGGCACAGTTTTTCCAGCATTAAAACTCTTTGAACTGATAAAGATACACAGAAGGCAAAGATCACACCTTAGGGTCACTGGGCATTACACTGGGCTCAGAACAAACATAGCATCAAGCACACATAGTCCAGAGCAATTGAAACTCTGCCTCAGGGCCAGAAAACCGGACATAATTCTACTCAGCAGTGTAGGTGAAGGCAGTTTCCATCTGACTTGCTATTCTCAAGTGCAGGGCTGGACTCTTCTATAGCACTGCAGCTACATGCTTAGTCCTCAGGAGCTCTAGTGTTGGTCCCTGTCTTATGTGCAACATACTTGGATGAGTCAGTGTGGTCCAACAGCCTGTTCCTGTATTGAGACACTGCACCTCACTGAATAGACATGGATTTGGGATAACCTGCTTTAGACTGAGCCTGCGTTTAAAAGTGCTTCTTGGTGTGAAACCATCTGTGCTTCAGCTGTCACTTTGAACACTTATCATAACTGTGATTTATTAGTTGCTGAATTCCCTGTTAATGTGCTTGAAAGGTGAATGTTCAGCCCTGAAAAAGTAGCAAACACATACTCTTTATTAAGTGTATTGAGACTGCAAAGCTGTCTTCAGAATTTTTCTGAAAATATACATAAAATTCAGCCACTAGGCAACTGTCTTCTGCTTAACGTTCAGCTAATTCTCAGCCCACCATACAACACCCCTATAGACACTGCAGGAATAGCAATTAAGGTTTGCTTTGTACTGTGAGTAAGGGAAGTGGATGCTGATGGGCCACATTGTTTCACATCTCAACCTGGAAGAACTCCCTCTGGCCTCATCTAGTGAGCAATTGGTTGAATTCACTGGTTTTATATGCAAAAGAAGATCCTTTTAGGGAAGGATGTGGAGATGTTTGGATTTAATATCTTCTTAACTTTATTTTGAAAGGTTTATTTGTCATTTGTAGGATGCAGTTGAACATATAGGCCCTGAAAAAAAAATTACACATAAGTCACACGTCAGTATAGAGCCTTTGATATTACACTGTTCTTAATGCTTTTAGATATATTTATTGATTTGTCTTTCTTTAAAATAAACAATTACTGCTTTTTAATGAGGAACTTCCAAAAACTGGTTATTCATTCATTCAGTAGCAATCACTGAGACAGCATAATTTCACAGCAAAGGCTTTTGACATCTTAAATGATAGTTTAGATCTGAGTAACTTTGTACTTGTCATGGAACAGAAGATTTATGAGATAGAATCAGTGAACTGAACTGTGCCCATCCATCCTTATTAAAGTTCTTAGGCAAAATCCTTCATTACCTCACTTTGGAAAGTAGTAAAGTTTGACTATTTCAGTTAAACTGTCAATCAAAGCTCATAAGGAAATTCAGTTTCTTTGTTTAAATTTGACTCCTAGCTGTCATTAAAGTTTACATGACTTGTGTAAGTTTTTCTTCAAACTACACACACAATTAAACCTCATCTGAATAAAGTTAATTGTGATCTATTTTTAATAATGTGTTCGCATTTACATAGTGTCAGTACCAAAAACATTTTCTATGTATATGAGAGCTTTATTTTTTATTGCATGCCATTAGCTCCTGTTTTATAAACCAGCAATGATGAACTGACCTAAGTGTTTACTGGGTAAAGAATAGGCCTAGAATCCTTAATTTCTGATTAATTGCCTTTGGCTTAGATACCAGCAGACTTTCCACTGACTTTCAGTGGGCTTTGGACCAAGCCATTCATGGACTATTAAGCTTTACATGGTCTGATGTGTTTCACTCCCATACACCAGCAGAGACGGTAACGACTGACTTACTTTTTGTATCCCAACCAGAGCAGTTTTACAGTTTCATTGCGTGAGACACCTGAGATAGCAGGTTCATTTAACAACTGAAACATGATTGGCATTTTTAATGCAATTTTTTTCAAGCCTCCATTTCAGTAGTCTGTAGACCCATCTTTAGCCCTTGTAAATCTTGTGAGCATGAATGCCTGGAGCTGGACTGACTTACAACCTGAAGGATCTGGCCATTTATCTCTTCAACCAAATTTGTAATGCTAATTAGGCATGGCCACAGTGACATTTTATTTGACATTATGATAGCTTCAATAGCAGAGTTAAAAGCATATATGTGAATATACTTTTGCTAACTGTTCAAAAGTAAATAATACACAGAAAATATTATTCCCCTCTGACTCTTGGGGGCAAAGATAGTGCTCAAATACATATTCATGACAAGAAATACAAAAGAGAAAACAGGCTATATATATTTTATAATTATATATATATAATTACATCAAAGAAAGCTCCACTGAAGGAAAAAAAAAGTCTTCTGG